CTGTTAACTTTGTCTGTGGCGTCGATTGTCTATGGTTACTCAATGGGCGGCGGCGCGTCAAGCTGGACAGCACCTTATTGTAGTTGAAATAAGTGTGATTTTGCAGCAAGTGTATAGTTTGACGTGCCGGCGACTGAATGCAAATGATGTTTTTGTGTACTTGATAATTATTAATGAGTGATCGCACAAATTGTCCTGTAAAATGTCAGAGCCATTTGTACATTGCCAGTATGAAACATACTTCCATATTGTATTAGTGTGTAAGTATTAATGCATTTTGATGTGTACCTTTATATTGTATTTTAACATTTGGAAAAAGCCTAAAAATAACGTTTTAGCGGTGTATTGAGTCATCTTGTAAGATATGTTTTAACCAATGGGGTTGATTCTGAATTATTCGAAACATTTCATAAGTATTGCTTTCACGTTCGAGTTGTATATCGTCTGAGAAGGACAGTGAAATATCGTTTTGTCTCATCATAATTAATATAATGCCCTAAAATCCTAGTCCATATTATTGATCTACTTACTTAATAATCAAACGTCGTTTGAGAATGCGTGCTGTATGTTTTTTTCTTCACTTTTAGAAAGACCTGCCAGACGTAAGCTTCACACGAATATTTGTGCAAGATGAAATGAAATAGAACAAAAATTCAGAATCAACCCATTGTTTTTGTTACTGGCACAAAATTAGTGACATAACCCCGCTCGTCCGCGTCCATTCCAAACCGTAAACTGCATGTCTATTAAAAATCTGCAACAGATTGTCCTATTTTTTATAAGAACCATAAATTAACAATGTAAAGAAATTGAGTTAGTAAGCGAGCGATCGGGGCGCTTTAGGACTCTTTGAAACTAGACGTTTTGAGCACATTAAAATTTGTAAGACCGCTAAAGGCCCGCGCGCACGTGTGACTTTTTTGTCGCCATGATAATATTATCCGTGATAGTATATTTGTTTCTTTTACACCTTTATAAAAAGAAAAAGAGACATACTGTCACGGTGACAAAAGTCTTCCGTGCGCGCGCTACCTTTTGTTAATCGTAATTTTTATTCCAACGCAATGTCATAAAATATTTCGTATGCGGCTCAAAACGTCTGCTTTGAAAGAGCCCTTAGAACGTGTTTTTGTAAACTGACGACCGGTGAGATGATTTAGTAGTTAAATTAAAGTCTGTACAGCAGCAACCGATCAACCTACCACAATAGATTTTGAACTGTATGCTAGTAGGTATAAAGTTAAAAATTCATTGAGGATTATTTTGATGCGCTGGCGACTGTATCTCTGCTGTTTTTATTTCTATTTTTTAAATAAATGTTGTAATGTCTTTTTTACAAGTATTTTTATACAATTTACTGTCATCAGCGTTTTGAATGTCGATTTTGTAACGATTTTGATAATTTTGACACTATAATGTTTACAGTTGAAGGTAACGCTGTCTTTGTCTGCCTTTTGTAGTGTGAAAGAGACAACAATAGATCAGGTTAATAGCTTTGCAATCGTCTCGCCGTCGTCTTAGATCGTGTCATTAACATACACACACATTTATAGCTCATAAAATATGTCTAGCGTTCGGATACGCGAAGTGAAATGTAAGTTATTAAATCTGCTGCGTGTATCCGAACGTGGCTCTCAAATAGACACACGTTGCATGGTTTTGTTGTCAGACAAAATAAGTAAAATTTCTTTTTTTTTTTACAAATGTTAACTTACTATTTGATATTAAGTCTGGCAACACAGTATAAATCCAAGTGACGTAACATGCTCAAAGTGTCAAGAGTTCACGCACACAGTCCGTTCCGCATAATGTCTGACGCACATAATTTGTCCGTTGTATTGACCACAGTTCTAAGGACCTTTGAAAACAATCGTTTCAGCAAATCTGTCTGTTTTAGAGATGTTTAAAGCCAATATTGAACTGACTTAAATCATTTATGCTTGATTCTTGCTAAATATTGGTTTATGGTTTCCCAAAACCAATTTTTAAAAGACTGGTTTATTTGAAACGCTTGCTAAGAACTTCTCAAAGATGGTCGTAACACTATCTCTCAAACTTTCATGACAAAGAAGAATTAATATTGTTGGCCAATGCAACGGACTACACCGATATACATTTGAAGAGTTTACATGTCACCGAATTTTGTAAGAATTTATAATAATATAATAATGATCATACCTGTATCATACTCATTGATGCATTTTCGACTATGTTGATATTGATATCGTGTGGGGTACGCCGTACCCGTCTAGCTTCATAGTAAATTGTAACTTAGCTTTCTTGATACTGTTAGTCGTTATTGCAGTATTTTGGTGCAAATATTATTATTTAATAAGCGTATTCATAAATAAATTGACTCCGATATAGAGTTACTGGTTTCATTTCAACCTTGATTCCTGATTTTTAAATAAACTGTTACATATTTACTTTCCAGTATATGGTAAGACTAGGTTTAATTGGGACGTGTAGTGACTACATACTCCATAGATACAGATAGAACTTGTGGTATAAATTTTCTATACCATAGGATATGAAAAAAATAATTAATTGATAAATAGATTTTATTCATATTTACAAAACACATGAAACAAATAAAACTTTAACAATATTTAATCTCAAAATATAAATAACATCAGTCGAACACAAACTAACCTACGAACTAGAGATTTGAACTACACAAAAATGCACCACTTGAAGTCTTACCACGATAAAACGAGATAGTTACTGTATTTCTGAAATGATTTGACCCTTATTTACACGTGACTAAATACTATTTTATTAGAGCTGGCACGAAACGAGCCAAAGAAAAGTAAAGCAAGGTATTATAAATATTAAAAACCCCTACCTTTATTATTAACATACTTGTGTTCAATTTTATACCCACAAAAATATGCAGTTTCTTCTATGAACATGCCAAGTCCGTACATTTTTCAACTTAATAGTTTTCTTTGTGAAAGGCTGCTAAAACCTGTTATCTAAAGCTTCGCCGGCGCGATTAAAAACCTGTCATTTCCCTATGATCGCGCCGGCGGCGATGGCGATTTGCACGCGTTGTTGTGGTTGAAGCATAAGCTATCTTCACACGAATAGCAGCAGAGAGTATAATAATTTCATTTATACAATTCGTGCCAGCTTTAATGGAACAACTAATGGAAATGTATGATATGTATGGTATTTAAGAACAATCAGGAACAGTATTATAAAACAACAAAAAATAGTAGAACAAAACACCTTCCTTAAAATTAATGAAAGCACTAGTAGGGTAGTGAAATATTTAAAAGTGGATATATTTTAATATTCTACTTTTTATAACCGACATAATAAAATATATAAATTGCACCAATACGTCTTAAAATATTGAGCGTGGCTTTCATAAAGTAACAATGGCAATCTTTTGTCATTGATTTTTTAGATTATTTAATTTCAAAATTAACTTCCATAGAGACATTCTATAGTGTGAGACATTCCAATACATAATACATAAAATAAAATTTTAGTTACAAATTATTCAGCTTGATTGATGCATTTAATTTTGCTAAACACGATGATTGATGGAGAAGACATAATTGGCAAAAAAATGTATCGCAAACAGTTTCAAAATAGTTTTCGATTCCATTTTAGACCTGAAAACAAGGCATCAAGTTAAAACATAACGTAGGAACTACATTATTTCTTGTTTCAGTTATTCCACCCAAACAAATTGCCACATTACAAGTCCTACGCTTTCGCCTTTTTCTTCTGCACATTATTCTTATCCACATAAACTCTCTGAAACAGCACAAACTTGCCATTCTGTATGTATTTCGTTTCGTATATCGCGTCCTCTATGCTCCAAGATGGCCGCTCGCAGTGTTGCCAGTTTCTGGAATCCTTCGGTATTTGTAGTTTATCGAGTAGTTTTTGGGACATATCAGGTATTATCGGTTGGAGTATTATTCCGCATATTCGTAGCGTTTCCATGGTGATGTGTAGGATGACGTCGAGGTGTTTCTGGTTCTCCACTTGTTTTCGGAGTTCCCACGGTTTGTGCGTCTCGAAGAAGAGATTGGCGAGGTGTAGCGTGTGTATGACCGCGTCTACGGCTTTGTAGAACTGGTAGTTTGTGTAGTGCTCGTGGCAGATTTCTGTTGGAATAGGCAAATACCTGATTATATTATGTTATTTTCATAAAAAATAAAACAATGTAATCTCTGGATCTACTGAAAAAAAATTACGAAGCCACATTATTGGCGTGTGTCATAGGATGACATTAACCAGAGAAAAAAAATGGCAGTAAAGATGACTTACACTCTCGCACCAAACATAATATTTCAAGAGGGGCGCCAAAATCGTTCAACTGTATGGTTTCCATCGTGGAAAAAATCGGAACCAGCGATCCGATGAATTGACGGTGGCACCCTCCTGTCAATGTCACGGGTGGAACAGTTCAGTGTATTGTGTATACGAACGAAGTTCGCCGGGACTATTCCCACCTCTCGTTCCCACCGCTGCATCTCTTGTGTAGCCAGGATCTAAAGCTTGACCGCCAATAAAAAAACCCAACCAATGAAGGTCAAGTTTGTCTCGGGGGACAGTCAAACTGTCCTTGGGACCGCAACAAAATTAATCAGAAGCAGCCGGGACAGCGAGTAAAAATGTAAGGAAATCTATTTCCACAACATACCAGGCAGTCTCTCCACTCGATCCAGCAAATTCGCGCGAAGGAACGTTACAGTTTTGTTACGTCACATATCACCTTTCCTGCACCAGCTAAGAACATAATCAAGTTGTTCGCTAGTTCCACTCACATAGTCTCTCTACTCGGCCCAAGAGATTCGCGGTGACGTCACTCTCGCATCACCTAGGAACCTACTCAGTCATGCTTACTCACCAGGCAATCTCTCTACTCGGTCTAGAAGATTCGCAGTGACGTCAACTTGCCGACACGTTGCAAGTTCGTGCACGTGTAATGGAGGGAACTCTTGTCGCGGGTTGAGGGACGCGCCGCAACAACGGGACGCCAGGTTGCCTAGCGTATCGGCTAGCTCGGAGTTGGCTACGTTTATTAGCTTGGTTTCGCTGTAGTCTGGAAAGATAATGCAATGTTAACGTTGTTATTATAAGATAGGTAAGATAAGCAGTAGCTAGCTAGCTAGCTAAAACATCGAGTAAAATACCTGCCCTTACTGAGAATCGAACCCAAGACCTCTGGGTCTGAGTCAGGTGGTCTTTCCACTAAACCATTGAGGCGGTTTGACACACCACGTCTTATAATAAATAGAAAATTTTAACACCAGATGGCGGCACGGTCATCTTATTTTTAGCTGTCATTCATCAATAATTGTTAGCTGGAAGAGACTGCCACATGGTATTAAGCTCACCTGTTGTACTGCTATTTATTATGTGTGATTTAAAGATTTTAAATAAATAAATGATTGGCAACACTAACAGACTGTCAAAATTTGAGGCCTCCATCTTGGAGAAAAAAAGTTGATTTGTCAAAAAAGGCCGCCAACTTCTTTCCTGGAAAACCCAGAGACTACGGACAAATATGAAATGTCCACTCACTAGCATCTCCAGCCATAGTAGTCCCTCAACAGCAAATATCTCAACGCAGAGGGATTCACAGGGGTCTTCCTTGGATCCACCACATTGCCTAGAGACTTGGACATCTTGCTTCCGTCTATCGTCCAGTGAAAATGACACACTAAGAATAAAATAATAAAGATAATATCAAATATTTACTTACTAGCATCACCAGACATAGTAGCTTCCCTCAATAGTAGATATCTCAACGCAGAGGGATTCACAGGGGACCTCCTTGGATCCACCACGTTGCCTAGAAGACTTGGACATCTTGCTTCCGTCTACCGTCCAGTGAAAATGACATATTATAATAGTAAATACTAAATTATTACTCACTAGCATCACCAGCCATAGTAGCTTCTCTCAACAGCAGATATCTCAACGCAGAGGGATTCACAGGGGTCCTCCTTGGGTCCACCACGTTGCCTAAAGACTTGGACATCTTGCTTCCGTCTACCGTCCAGTGAAAATGACACACTATATTAAGAAATATTAAATTACCACTCACTAGCGTCACTAGCCATAGTAGCTTCCCTCAACAGCAGATATCTCAACGCAGAGGGATTCACAGGGGTCCTCTTTGGGTCCATCACGTTGCCTAAAGACTTGGACATCTTGCTTCCATCTACCGTCCAGTGAAAATGACACACAAGAGTTATAATATAGAAAATATCAAATATTTACTTACTAGCATCACCAGACATAGTAGCCTCTCTCAACAGCAAATATCTCAACGCAGAGGGATTCACAGGGGACCTCCTTGGGTCCACCACGTTGCCTAAAGACTTGGACATCTTGCTTCCGTCTACCGTCCAGTTAAAATGACACATTATATTAAGAAATATTAAATTATCACTCACTAGCGTCACTAGCCATGGTAGCTTCCCTCAACAGTAGATATCTCAACGCAGAGGGATTCACAGGGGTCCTCCTGGGGTCCACCACATTGCCTAAAGACTTGGACATCTTGCTTCCGTCTACCGTCCAGTGCGAGTGGCAGACGAGGCGGCGCGGCGGCGGCCAGCTTGTGGCCATTAAGAAGGCCGGCCAGTAGATGCCGTGGAACCTGGGAAAGTAAGATTTAGGTTACAGATGTAAACCCTTCAAAGAGTTGACAATAGTGACTGAGTTTCTTGCGCTGCTTCTTCTCAGCACTGGCCCATTTATTGTCCCGAAGCAGTGGTAGGGTTAATGCTGGGACGTGTAACGTGATTTTTAAGAGCTTACTTGCAAAAATAAAATGAGTTTTATAAGTTGTTATGCGTTTTACAGTAAAGGTGAATGTATGTAAGCTTGAAGCTTTACAAAGTAGTCAAATACAAAGTTGCTGTTTTATTTTGAACCTTATTGGCATGGATTCTGCGAAATAAGCTCAAGTTCAATTCCGAAAGCCCTTGTTTTTCTTTTATAAGAATTTCAGCCACAGGACGTCTACTGCTGAACATAATTTTTTCCTAACGATTTCAGATTATCAGATTAGCTGGTCGATAGGGCAGCAAAGTTCTGGCTGGACTGGTGCCGCCAAGTGTATACATTACACTTGGCGGCGACGATGACGTTGTAGGACAATGTGGACCGTGAACAGATGACCTCATAAGAAGGAAGGAAGGCGCTGGATGCAGGTCGCTACCAACCGGTTAATATGGCAATCATTGGGGGAGGCCTATGTTCAGCAGTGGACGTCCTGTAACTGTGTGAATTGATGATGATGACTACTCATTACAGTCTGGCTAGCGCAAAGAGAGTAATAGGTCAAATCCTCCATTTGCCTCTGGTAATTTAGAGGGTCGTGTTCCTAAGTGGAGAAATGACCTAATAATGATAAGTAGTTTTATTAATAAACCATACTTACTTGAGTATATCCTTCCCTACTACGTGCACGTCAGCAGGCCAGGGCCGGCCGCGCCGTATCATGGCGTCCTCATCAGGATACCCGATAGCAGTTAGGTAGTTGATGAGAGCGTCCAGCCACACGTATATGCTTTGCTCCTCGTCGTTTGGTACCTAGGAATAATCATCGTTTTAAACTAAGGCACTCCAGTATCTACTGCTGGCCGTTGCCTTTCCATACTCATTTTATTTCCACTCGGCATGGGGCACACTGAAAACCAGCGCCATGGCCCTTCTTCACCGTGGGCCACGGCATATGCTGAGTGGAGTCCCATTGCGATGGGCATCGCTGATGCGACAGGGTAGCACTGCTCAGTTCACTTTTTATTTCCTTGTAATATTTATGTGCTATTTCTGTCTTTTTTTTCCTATGCCTTCGTCGTCCCGGATTTTCACCATATGATTCAAAACTTGAAAACATCGAGTAGCTTAGGTATGAAAGGGGAATGATGAGATACACTGATCTCATTCAGAATGGCAGTTCATTTTGCTATGTTCATCTTTGTTTCTTGAACAAAATAGTTTTGAACACTATAAAATGAGTTTTATGCGGTATAAAGTACAATGACAATGACCCAAGCTTGGGTAGTAGTTTGGTAGGGATCATTGTACGAAATTCTATTTACTCGGCGACCGGACTTTAGACACATATTTTCATTACTTTTTTTTGTGATAGTAGAATGTCCTCGTGTTAAATATAAAACGTAAGGTTTTTAAATAGATTACGCACCCGTATCGCCCAGTGCACCCTGGAAGACGGGCGGCTGACAGATATGTCGGGGAAGTAAACCTCATTCTCCAGTAACTCCTGCAACTGTTTCTGGAACTTGTTGGGAGTTATCACGCCGTCTGCGAATAAGTAGTTTTTTTTAAA